TATTCAATCCAAGGGTTGAGATTTATTCTTAATTCTTTCAGTAGATCCTTTCTTACTGGAAATAAACTCTATACATATATATATATATATAAGGGAAAAAATCTTTTTCACCCCAATACAAAGACACATTAAGTTTTTCACACCGCCCAATAAAAAATCTAAGTTTTTCACCCCAGAAAATGCAAAGGTTATGCAAAAACTATCGCATATTCAACGCATAATTGCCACATATCAATTGCATAACTGTCGCATATTCATCGCACAATATCTTCGCACTTTAACTTTTTTTCACCTCAGAAAGTGCGAAGGGATATGCGAATATCTTCGCACTTTTAACTTTCGCACAATGTCATCGCGCAATTGTCGTATATTCATCGCACAATGCTTTTGCACTTTCTGGGGTGAAAAACTTAGCTTTTTATTGGGCGGTGTGAAAAAATTAACAAGACTTCAAAACGAGGTGAAAATAGATATTTTCTTTAAAAATAAATAGGGCTTGGTAGGTTTATTCTGTTCATAACCAAAATTGGCACTGCACGTTGCCAAACCTAACAGACCCACAACAAAAATCCATTTTGGATTAAGAGAATCAAGATCACCTCAGTATGACGCATGTATTCCAACATTTTTATGTACTCAGCTTGCTGTTCAATCAGGTCAAGCAATCAGGCAGCACGAATGAGTATCCAAGAAACAGAAAAAGATGACGTTGAAATGCCAAATATGATATAAAAGAATAATTTGCGTAATCTAAAATGGGTAACACAAATCATACATGTAAACCGAGTGTTGTTGTGTAACTCAATAGGCTTCTTGCCCAAGAAAATAGCCATGAATGTATAAAATACCAGCGAAACAAAATAAAGAAAACAAACAGGGAAATGCACCAAAAAATCTGAACTGAAAATGAAAAAGAATAATCCCAATGGGGCCGAAAGTGGGAGTCCCATGTATTGTATTGAGAACCTTGCATTTATGTCTGTCCTCCTCTACTGCATCATATACATTGCCGAGCGTGTACACCAACATATCCCTTCCAAGCTCTCTAAGATATAAGTTGTCAAAAAATAGTAATAATCGTGCATAACATTAGTTGATAGATCATGTGCTAGTTTACAAACAGAAGAATGATTTCTCATGCACAAACAAGCAGCAAAGGTTGCTTGTTGAAGAAACTGGGACACAACACCAAAATTAAGATTGGCATGTTCCACCAGTTGGGAAGAGGCTTACTCTCTCAACTTCTTCGTCAACCAAACTTATTGCAATTATATATACTTCGTTCGTGCTGCGTTTGGTTGATGCTACTCCAAGACATGGCAATTCCTAATAAAATCATTAGAGTAGTCGACATACTTGGTCCAAAATGGTCTGAGATGCTCGAAACCAATCTCCAACCATGGTTTTGACTGGCCATTGAAGTGAATCACCGCTGCCTTTCTCACGTTTTCGACTTTGGTCTTGTTCTGATACCCCAACCCGAGCAAGTGCCATGAGGGATCAATTGGGTGCACATGACCCTTAAATGCAATTAATGCAGGAGGAAGGGTACCCAGTTTCCATAACGTCAAGTTTGACTTCAGATTCTGGATTAAAAAAAAAAAAAAAAGGAAAAGAGTAAAAAAGCATTTTAAGAACAGTACCATATGATTGAGGTAAATAGAAGAATTAAATAAATTTAACCTATGTTAAAACATGTGTGCAACTCATGGAAAATGACAGGCATATAGACAAACGCCATAGCTTCAGCAATTGTAATTACACAGTCCAATATATGTAATTTGAAATATGGTGAAGCCAAAGGATTTTCTACAGTAAGAACGTAAGAACATATTGAAAATGGAATAATTGGTGAAAAACTTCTGCATCATTTACAAATAAAAACATTGGTGAAGCTGATAAATCATAGAAGAGAGATGACTAAGTAAATGTATTATGAGAGAAGTTTAATGTACCGCTTTTAGCCAGGAGTGATAAGTATCTCTAATATTTGTTTTTCTCCATGCACGCAAGTCAAAAATATTCATCCCATACGCCCATGCACATTCTTCTGGATTCAAGTTCTTTGCTATAAACGGATGAGAGAAGTTGAAATAATTCCTAAAATGCTTAGACATGACCCATTCATCTTCGCCTCTACAAGTTTCAACAGCTCCATTAACTTTTCCATTAAGATCGATTTCCCAAAGAGGAGTCAAATCCTGTTGAATTACAACATCATCGTCTACGAAAACCACTTTCTCAAGGTCGGGGAATAGCTGCAGAACATAACAAATATAATTCTCAGCTGTGTCAAAAGAAAAGGCCCAATGATATGGGAGAAGACCATAGGTGAAGAAATGATTTAATAATAAAAAACAAAAAAAATCAATCTAAGGCTTTTGATCACACAGGTGAACTATGAATTTGGGTATCACATAACATAAATTAATGAATGAAGTTGTTTCTCCATAATAACAAGAAACAGCTCTTAGTAAAAAGCTAGGAAATCCAAGATATATCAAGCATGGTGTGAAATGAAAATAATGAATTGAAGGGACTAGACTCACTGGATAATAAGTTATTGTAAAAAACCTTTGAAGAAGAGCTTATGAGTGGGACATATAAATTGATAGTAAAAACTCCAAGCTTAACCTTAAGGCCCTCACTAACTACTCACTGGATAATAATTTATTGTAAAAAACCTTTGAAGAAGAGCTTATGAGTGGGACATATAAATTGATAGTCAAAACTCCAAGCTTAATCTTAAGGCCCTCACTAACTAGAATTGACTAAATAACCTCTCTTCACTAGTCTATTACTTTTTTGTGCCCCGATTTACCTGAGTGATCTATGAAATCAGAAAATGGAACGAGAGTGCAGTTTTTCCAATGCCCCGATTAATCTATAATGTCATTGATGGTTACAATATGCTATAGTAACTCACTCAGTCTTCTTTACTAAAGGCAGTTTCAGTACTAATCTATTATAATCCAGATAAAAGTTTGATGCCATGCGGAAAAGTATATGTTCAGTGTCAGGTGATTACCTCTGGCAGGTATATTCGAAGATGGTTGAGCAACGAGATATATTTTGGACTTCTAGCCTGTAATTTTGAAGCAAATGTTCTTGGAGTTGTATCACTCAGATTAGCCCCGGCAATGTGATTTCCATGGTAGTAATTCCGTATTCCATAATGGCTTTCAACAGCTTCAAGTACTGGCACATTCTCTCTTGTCAACCAATCAAATTGATGAATGCCTTTTACTTCAATAATAGCAGGATGCATGGGATTTAGGGCAAACCATGAATGCATCCCTGGATAAGTTTTCTTGTCGGTGATGACATGAAAAATAATTCTTTCAGGATTCAGAGATGACTGGACTGCAGATGCCACAACAACAGAGGCAGCAAGAATGTTGTCTGTTGATAACACAAAGTGATGGTAGGAGTTGTCAGATAGCATAGGAAGTAACTCTGGGGAAGGTAATTGCCTGCGTGCATGAGCATTGGAAGAATACTCATCAGTCAGCCTCAATGAGAGACAGTAAATGGCCTTAGGAATTGCACTAGCTGCGAAATGTTTATTCATAAGCTCAGCAAACTTGGACTCCCTAATCTCCCTTTCAGATCTCTCCATCTGTTTCACCAAAAAATAAATCTCAAATGAAAAAGAACACATATTTTATCTTGAAGAACGGAAAACAATGTAAATTGTGCAGGATATACATTGACAAGACATAACTACACTATTCCGAAGTTTGTGATTTCTCACCAAAGACATCACTTATGGGCATTAGATGCCAGAAAATCAACTATCTTCTGATCACTGAACAAAGCCTGATATGGCATTAGATGCCAGAAAATCAACTATCTTCTGATCACTGAACAAAGCCTGATAAGATAGTGATGGTGAAGAGGGTGGGTGAATCTTTTTCATTAAGCCATAAGTTACGGCTATTAAGAATACCCAGATAGTACACTAGTCACTCAGACATCATATTTTTCCACTGCTAATTTATTACAGGATATCATTAGAGTATACCTTAACTTCAAAGAATGCACAATACCACATACATGTGTAGAATCGAAAAAACACTGCAGAATGGAAGGCTGAGGAAAAGCCACAGAAATATAAGTGAATTTATGATATGCAAGAAAGGGACCAGTGGCCAAGTAAAATTTACCATTCCCTTCAAAATCAAAGCAAACTCCTTTGAACTGTACTTCTTGTTTTTCGTTTCGGAAACAAGTTGACTAAAAGAATCAGGTAGCTTTATACTATCAGGGACCTTCTCAGAGTTCACTTGATTCATAACTTTAACGAAGTCTTTGACCAACCTCTGTCACAGTTACAGAAAATAAAGTTTCAGTAATTATTAAAGATGGATTGTCAGAGTGCAAACAACACAATCTGTATCAACAATTATATAAGTTACCTTAGAATCATCAGTTCTCCCAAGAAACTTTGGCCCCAACCTTCGTCCCAAACAATCTGAATGGAAATGAAATTTAGAACCGTTAATTTGTTCTACAACAAAAACTAAAATCATCTAAGTACTTTTGATGTAGAAGGATCAGCATACCCTCACATTTTAAGAAAATGAACTAACTTCGGTGCACATAAGAAAACAAGAGAATGTGAGGGCAGCTAAAGAGACAGGTATTTGATTGTCAAGATTGATACTTACATGGATTATGGAAGCATAATGGATTAACTCATTGACAATCAACCACTTTAATGTATGGTAAGGTGACTACATTTCTAGCTCTAAGCCTAAGCAGAACGTCCAACTTCCTCTTCACCACTAAGAAATTACAACTAGCCACAATGAAAAAGGATGAAAAATAGATGTGACGATGAGCACAAAATGGGACGCAAAGCTGCTAAAATTAGGATTGGCATCCTGGAATAATTCATGTCATTTCCAGAAAATCATTTAAAAGAAAAAAAAAAAAAGAATTAAGAACTGCTTTCCTAGCAGGAGCACTGGGGGATACTGCTGGAAAAACACAAGCAGCCACAACCCATAAGCACAAGTTTTCTTGTTGATTACATATTCATCTTCCTCTATCCAAATATTTCTTGCATTATCAGCTTGCCCATTAATAACAAGATGACATGACCCTACATTAAGTGCACAAATAAAAAATGTGAATCACTCATTAATCAACACAACTTACAACGTAGAAACCGATCCACAGACAACAACCCACTTTCTTGAATCCTTTTCAACACGAGATCTAAGCAACATAATGACAAAGCAAAGACGACAAACAGCATATCAATTGAAATGAGGGAGATTACCAAACGAGGAGCACTTGTTGACACCTTCGAGTGTGACGAGGGCAGTCAGAATGAAAACAAACGGCAACAGGAACGCGAGTATGAGAATGGTGTGGAAGAGCGTGCGGTATGAGATGTGGCGAGGCGCCACCTTGATCTTCATCAAATCTCCGCCTCCTCCATTGACATTTCCTACTGAGCTGCTCGAGGATATTGTTATGCTTCTCATGCTAGGTGAGAAGTGCAGCTGCATCTTCCTCCGCGTAGCCGCTATTCCAACTCTTTCCTCCCGCCCCACAACAATTCTTCCAAAACCTACCGCCGGAACAACCGCGTCCGCCACCGATTCTGTTAACGCCGATGCCCCTCAAATGAATACGACCCGAGATATTTCTGGAAAACGATAACAAACTCTTCACCATCAGATCCGACGCCAAAAGTGATTTAACGATCCTGATTTCTGCACGGCGGTGAACCTCTGCGACATTGGAGGTTCTACTTCACAAGCTCACGCAGCAATTCATTACCATTATGTTAATCGTTTGCTTTTCACATTTCCATGCCCGTACACAAGTATTCAAACACTTTCGCAAATGAATCAAATCGAAAAATCAGTACATGGGATCAGCCCATCATCAGCTGGATCATCATAGCACGGCGAAAGCCAAATTCTCTCTCCAATCTTCTATTCATTCGTCTTTCCTCAGCCGCAATAGAAAATTGAAATGGCTGATGAGTTTCTGTCTTGGAACGAAAATCGGACATAGAGAGAGAAAGTCGTGTAGGTATTACGGCGACCTCTCTAACCTCATTGGCTAATCGATTCATTTTACAATGGAACAATCTAAAAATGTAACAAGGTAAAACTATGTTTGATAAGCACTTTAAATTAGCTTATAATTTATTTATTAGGAATGTTATAGAGTCTACTTGAATACCAACTTAAATTACAAAAGTATAAATGCTATATTTTTTTTATTGTTTTTAATAATGAATTTACACTTGGATTGTAACTCAAGTTGTCGTGAAATGGGCTAGATATCATTATTCTTTATTTATTAGTTAAATAATAAGTTTTTTGTATTCAAATAAGTTTGTTTCAACAGAACGACCTTTTTTAAAGAGTTCGAACTTAGCCCATAAGTTTTCTTATGTAGCTTTTTAAATAAGTCTATTAAAATTTTTATTTGAACTAGTTTATTAACTAATTGTACGGAACACTTCATCATATAAGTTAGCTTTTCAGTCATAAGTCATAAAGATATCAGCTATAAGTTTGAAATTCACTTAACATATGTTTGGTAGATAATAAGGATTTACACAATGATTTGTTGTTATGATAATAGAGATTAAGCAAGTTAACGGTTCGTGAGAGAAACTGAAAACATGAAAACGAAAATTAAATGACACAAGGAATTAGCTGATCTGTAGGGGAGATTGACAAGGAGAAGAATTGTAGATATATGGATGTATTTTTCTCCAAACGTGGTTGTTATTTTTCTTTCGAGCCTCTTGGACTGAATTTATACAAAGACAAAATAGGAAATAATCATGACAAGGGGGCCAACTAAGGGCGTAGGAGAGTGACATGCGTCCCCATGTAAAACTCTTCTTTTAATAATGGGACAGACTGGGCAGTCGATTTAATAGTTTGCATCATACGCAAATAGTTCACACTACTATGCGTTGCACCGTATGCAATTAGTTCACATATGATTTCTTTCGATCATGATACAATCACTGAATTAACCATGGCTTTGATACAATTTGTTGGTTTTGTAAGGAACGCCAACTGTCGTGCTTTGAATCGAATGAGAATCTAGAAAACGAATGAACTACAATTTAAAATTTTGCCGACTCTGTACAGACATACACGACCTACAGGGCCGGACGAATAGTTTTGAGTTGTCCTAACTCTATACTTCTTGGCCTCTCGCCTTGTTGCTGGTTGTGCCTCATCGTGTATGTTGGATCCGATCGCCCGACTCGTACCTCACCAACCACTGTAGATCGTCGTGTTGGATGTTGTCGTCATTGAAGCTGGTTGTGTGTTTTTTTCGGGCTAGATGCCTCGTGTGCTGTCGTCGAGTTGGTCGTGCGCTGGTTGTCTTCCTAGTCGCTCTCTAGTTGTCAGTCGTCTCGTTGGGTGGTGCGAAGATTGGTGAACCGGAAGGTTACATATAATCAGAAGGCAACATTAGTGAACTTGAAGGTTACATATAATTCGAAGGCAACATTGATGAACCCGAAGGTTACATATAATCCGAGTGTGGAGATCACATAAATAATTTGATAGCAATAATGAAACATTTATAGAAGACATGTAGGTAAATTTAGAATTGTAAAATAATCCCCACCTGGAAAAAGTAGTTTCATGAAATTACTTGAAAAGGAGGCTCGTGCTTGAATGATCCTACCATGACAAGACTTCGTCCTGCAATGAAATGTAACATGACTTAATTGATGGCTCATAAATAAAGGACTTCATGGAATTAAATAATTTTTATGTAGTTATAGTGCAAATATAATGACAGGTAAACAAAGGGAATAAAAAGGTAGGATCAATAATTGATGATGTTTAGAATAAAGGTTCAATAGTCGGGTCAAAGTTCTTTCGACATCCATCGTAAAGTTGTTCACTAGTCCAACACATTTTCTGATTTAGACAATATTCGTTCCCTATTTGACCCTACTTTTCTCCTCACTTATCCCATTTCTGGTTTCTTTTCTATGGCCTAAGACCTTTTCCTGTAGCCTAACTTCTAACACCAAAGCCCAATTAATCCTCACAATATATAGGTATAATTCTTTTATTTCTCTTTTCCCTTTCTTCCTCTCCGTCAATTGCCCTTTTTCTCCTCCTTCTCCTCCTCATCGTCATCGTCATCATCGTCATCATCGTCATCGTCATCATCGTCATTGTCAACATCATCATCATCATCATCATCATCATCATCATCATCATCATCATCATCATCATCATCATCATCATCATCATCAT